CTTTCTTAATTTTCCCTCCCCGCCCGCCTTCCAAACGTCATCGAAAAAACAGCCTCTGAATTCATGTATGCACGTGCGAGCTGACCTTGACCCTCGAATCTCCGTTGCCACGATTCGCCCAGTCAGTAACTCTCCCGGCTCACCATTTCCTGATAAGTTGACATCGGTCTAAGGAGATATGCAACTATTAAATAAATAGGCAGGTCACCGCGAACCAAATTCAAATGTGAGGCGTGCTGACAAAATGGGTTACTTCTAGCAATCCACAAGTGAAGATATCGGCCAAAAATCTACACTAGGGTCAAATTTGCAGATTTTCAATTGATACCATACTTTAAGTTTAACATTCTATTTATTATTTCATACTTTTGTATTATAAAAATTTAACCTATAAGCGTGATGCATTTTTTTTCTTAGGGCTCAAATCTGAGATGTAACTTATTTTGTTAGCACGCTTCACAGATATCTGACAACTTTCAAAGGTTCTCATAGCAAGCCTTCCAAACCGATGGGAATTTTGCTTTTATCCTCACTTCTGGTTTGACTTTCAACATGTTCATGATTACTTACTACAGTAAGCGCCAGTGGCCAACACGATGAAAGCAAAGAAGCAGCGGTAATGCTTATATCGTTGATTGTAACCTTTAGGACTTGCGTTTCTGTTTCTGACATTGTCGCGTCGATCTGTGTTGTGTTGCCTCGTTTGGAAGAGAAAAGGGTTACCGAATACTCCTTTACACGAATAGTTATATTGTTTCAAAATGCCCCCCTAACCTCGTGCATATCAAAATCAAAGAGCCCCTCGTTAAAATTTTTAAAAACTGTCTGACATGCTTTTCTATCGCTTTTAATTTCTAGCTTGCTGTTTTACCCTGGGCCGAAATGCTCAGCGATGTTGCTTAGCAACCCAAACCTTTGGGTATTATGATAGAGATGTGTGACTGGAACCTTAATTTATGCGAATGCTCAGCATGTACACCTTTGTTACAAGGCGGAAGTCGTGTGACGCAGAATGATAAGAATAGTATCATGTGGTTGTTTGGGTGTATGTGAGTATGTGGGTTTGTTTACGTCCACACTCACGCGTACGGGTAAATGTATGCATATCTCTGTGAGGGTGTGCGGTGTATATATGATACAAATATTGTGCGTGCGTTTGCATTTGTATGTGGTTTGTGTATCGTCTTTAAGTGTTTTGTGCGCGTTTGTATGTATGTATGTATGTATGTATGTATGTATGTATGTATGTATGTATGTATGTATGTATGTATGTATGTATGTATGTATGTATGT